AAAAAAAAATTGAGTGTTAATTTAAATTATAAAAAACTAAATACTTTCTTATATTCTAAAGATAAATTGAAGGCTTTTAGAAAGATATGTTTAATAATAAATAAACAATTCAATTAGTATAAACTTTAATAATTTAGTTTTAAATTCCTTTAATATTTAATTTCTTGTTTATTTCGAGCTAATAGATTTACTTTATTAGATAAATAATTAAACTAAAATTGGATTCAAAATCCATGTATATAGATTTTTTGATTTTACTTTGAATGGGTTTAAATATCCTCTAAAATTAGGAATAGTTATTTTTTTTACTTATTGACAAATCTTAATGTTATTGAAAATATCTTTTATCATTAGAAGATTTTAATAAACAGGAAAACCATAAAAACATTTTAATTAAAGTATTATTCAAATTTCTTTATGATTAAACACTGTTAAAAAAGAGAAAATAATATATATTAATCATTTTTAAACATTATTGAATATCACTTTTATTTTGATTGAGTTTTCAAAGATAATTTTTTTAAAAAACCATAGACTCTGAAGCGAATATTAATAATTGAAGAGAGAATTTTAGTTTATCAGGTTCAAAATGATAAGTCATTATTAAAACAATATATTAATTATTAAGACAATATAGTTTCAAAGATAATGGAAAATTAAAATTAGATAAAAAATAAATTGAGACTCAAATATTTTTTCTTATTTAGAACCTACCATTTTTAAAAAATCAATAATGATAAATGAATAAAATAGCTGTAAGATTATTCATAATCTTACTTTTTATTTTAACTATCGAGAAAAACTTTTGCAACTTTGTATTATAAAATGGATTATCAAAAGATAAATATAGAAAGTGTATCCTATAAATTAGCCCCTATTTCACCAATTACATTTCTAATTAATTATTGCAGCACTTTAATTTCAACTTCAGTTTATTTCTATTTTTAAATTATCTTATATCTCAGATATTCCTTATTCTTATTTTGAATTTGACAAGGTACTCTCATTGTTTATTTAGTCTTAGTTGCATATTTTGTAAGATCAGCTGTACAAATTGAATGACTTCTTATACTCTAAATCTCTTGTATGATAAAAAGAATATAATATCTATATCTATGAAATATTTATTAAAATTTATAGATATGATTTTTATGGTTTTTATTCCTAAATTAATACACAATTATTAAAATTTTTAGATAGATTTAAATCATAAATATAAAATTATTAGTGGAATTTACATTAAATTTTTAATTTATGGATCTTATTTGAAGAATTTATTTATAATCATTATTTATATTTATTATAATGAAGACAAAAAATTCACTAAAGAAATAAAATATTAATGTCGAAATTATATTATAAACAGTTTTGACATTAGAAATTATATTGATTAATTAATTCTTCGTTTGGTTATAAATGTATTTTTACTATTAAGGATAAAATAAGATGAGGAATTAAACTTATTTATAATTTTATATACCTCCTTAATGCTAAAGCCTCCAAAATATTACAAAATTTGATATAAAAGAACTTTAATTAATGTATTTGGTATCAAGTTTATTCAATTCAAATTTCGAAACCTATTATTTAAAAAACTTTATGTAAATAATATGACTTAATTTTGATGGATTATGTATATTACTTTTTCTCAACTGTTGGAGAATAAATTATAAATTTATTATTATTCTAGTTTATTCTATCTTAAAAATCTGTCTAAAAATGACAGGTTCTACAATAATAATATTAAAAGTGATAAACTGATTAATGATCTGGACAATTTATAAATTCAATCAGTAAATAAAAATAATTAATTCAGATAATTAATTTTTTCTTTTTCCTTTCTTATGTTAATGTTTATTGATATCAGAAAACTTATTTATATAATTTTTCGGGAGGATTCTTTAAAAAAATTGGTTTTAATTTTAGATCTTAAGTCTTTAATAGATGTGACAATAGGTTTATATCTGTATTATACATTATTACTTTAATTATTTAATTTATTCTATTTTAAATACAAGAAATGTAATAGATTAAAAAATATTTTTGGAGCTTAAATTGTTTGAAATTATAAAGTAATTGGTTAAGAGCAGTTGAGTAATTTTTTGATCCATCATTCATTTATCTATCTTAATTTTGATAGGTATTGTTTTATTTAGATTAATTATTATATAAAATTAAATAAATATCAAAAAGATTTGATTAAAATAAAATACACTTTATTTAATAATTTGATTTTTACATAATTAATCTGCTTGCTTAACATTATTTATTAGATAATTAAAGATTTCAATCCATACTTATGCTATATAGCATTTAAAGAGTCGGATTTAAAAATTTTAACTACCATTTCTAATAAAATTGGAGAAGATATTTCAGAACAAGTAAGTATTTCTATTTTGAATCGCTTCTCAATCGATAATTATTAAAATTTGACCAAAACTTATTGAGGATATAAATCACATCCATCACATCAGCATAATAGAATATTAAATGGCTAATTATAATATTAAAATATTTAGGAATCAAATTGATTAAAATCAGGATTCGATGAGATTTTATAATAATCAAGCATAAAGGCTTTATCAAAATTATTCCTCCAGATTATTAACAATTCTTAATCTTAAGAATTTTAAAATTAATAACAAACTATACATCTAACTATCTAGCTGATCAATTGAAAAGAATGATAATAACCCAAGAACTTTTTGAATTTTCATAAAGAAAACAAATTAATCCATTTTTAACTGATTCAAAAGGTCTTCCTTTCATAGAGCCTGAATCATCAAGCATAAATATATAATGCTAATTGTATTTGTATCCATTTCTTGTTTTATTAAGTTTTATAATTCTTTAATCTTATAATCATCTTGTATTTCTTCATAAGTGTATAGTGATGGTTTACAATCAATCAACATTCCAATCATTCCTTAGTTATAATAAAATATTACCTCTTATTTGATTTCCATGTATATATTAATGCCTTATGATTGATATTATTTCATCACATTTTCCTTTACAAATTGGACTGGTGGTATTCTAAACAATCTATTATTCCTCTAGTTATACTTTAGTCTATATTAAATATCTACTTTAAATTGAAATATTGTTCATCAGTTAATATTTCAATTCCTATATTTTTTATTCAGTAAATTAATATTATTGGAAACATAACAATATTCTAAATTTTGAAAACTGAAAAATCAAATAAGCATTTTTCTCCAAACCATTCCGATAGTTCATCCTTTTTTAACTCACTTTATAATGATAATAATTTATCTAAGTTTTCTAAAACTATTTCAAACCCAAATGGGTAATTATTCAAATCAGATATCATATCATTTTAGTTATCCATTGAAATAAAACCTATAATTTGAAAAATTTTATTTATTTGTAAAATTTATTAGTTTGACACTTATTTATTAAGTTTACAATACTGGGCTTAAAATTTTAAACGATTATTAATAATCTTCTTTTAAGGGGAATTATTTAAGTAATTGTTAATTATGAAATTATTCTTTATAATTGGTAACATTCTTTGTTTAAAATTATAATTTGAGAACCCTAATAGGATTAAAATTAAAAGTTTATCACTAAACTCTGCTTGTTATTTTTCAATCAATAAACCAAAAAGTTTATTTAATTGTTCTTTAATTGTTCGTTCATTTTCTTTATATTATTTAAATTCATTTTCCTTTTTAATTAAAGTCAAAATGAATAAATCCAATTAAATTTTCTTAATTCTCAATTTCTTCATATATCGTCAAATATTCTACTGATTTTTCAATATTGATCATATCTTTTAGCATAATTTCATATTTTGTAAATATCTATTTCGATATTCTTTTTTCCTTTTTAATTGCTGTTAATTTTTCTTTAAAATTTATTCTTAATTGAATAAAATTAAGCATTAAATTTTTTTAAATTCAAATTATTGGATCTCATCTAATTTTAAAAAGGTCAAATTATTAATTTTCTCCAAGACTTTACAAGCAATAATTTAAATATATTCATTTTTATTAGAAAAATTGAGAATTCAATATTGTTAAAAAAAGATACTGATTATCTATTTCCATCTAAATCACTTTCTTTTACCTTTTCTAACTTCTGAACATATAATTAAATTAATCTCATTCCATATAAAAATAATGTCCTTAAGAAAAAGCTCCATTAATTTTAATTGCAACCTTGTTATAATCAATAGCTTTCTCACATTGATAGCTTAATTTTTTACTTAAGCTTGTAGCAATTGGCTAAAATAATTACAACAATGTGGTTAAATAAAAAACCAAGTAATTTATTTTTTACTTTGAAAGCATTTCATTTATTCTAAAGTAAATATATAGATTTCTACTAACGATTTAAATTATCATTTTAAATGACCTTTAACCTTCACTTCAATAATATCACTTATTGATAATACTATTCTTTTATCTAATTCTTAATTATCTTAATTAGAACTTTAAAACCTACAGTATCTAAAAGTATAATGAAATCAAATAAATCATTAAAAAGTGCTCTATTTTAAATTTTTTATAAATATAAATAAATTCCTTTAGTGCTTCTTCCAAAACCTGTTGTTAAATGATATTCAAATATTTTATTAAAAATTATTGATTTACCTGGCATCTCGAAAATTTGAAATTAGTTTCTTCAAAAACTAAAAATCGATTCTCAAATAATCACCCACTAAAAATTTTAATGTTCTCTTTTATTGATCATTTCCTTCACAATTTGGAAATCATTGCATTTCTCATTTTATGATATTAATTCTATTCTAACCAAAATATTTCTATATCGATAGATATTTTTGATATAGTGTCTCAAAATTGTAACAATTTTCTATTTCAAAACTATATGATTATTAGTAAATTTAAAGAGTTTATATTAGAAGACAATGGAGATGTTTGCATAAAAAAGCTCAAAAATATCATGATGGTGAAAAAAAGAATTTAAAAAGAATGAAGAGGGATCAAAAATTAAAGTACAATTACAGAGAGAATATTTGATGGAATATTTAAAAAAGTGGCATGGGAAACAATTAAATGGATAAAAAATTTGAAAATTATGGATGAACAAATAGATGTAATGCAACTCATAAAAGATCATAGGAATTATAGAACAGGTTGCATTTCTAATGAAAAAAAAGATTTAAGCAGTTCTTAAGTTATTAATTAAATACAATAAATTCTTAATATAATATCGAATTCAATAACACTTATAACTTATTATTAAACTTGTAAAATTGTCTTAATAGGAAATAAAATTATTATTAAAATGATAGAATAATTCAATTTAGATTATTCTTTACTATTTCGTTCTTCATAATTTTAAATCTTTATAAGAAATTCTATAATTTTCCATTATTTTTATAATTTCCAAATCACATTAATGAGATTTTTTATAGTCCAGGATTCATATCTTATTAATAATTATCTATATTATAAGAAAAATATTGGATCTGAATTTTGAACGTTTTGAGTTAACTTACATAATTTCGTTTCATATTGTTTTTAAACTTTATCATCATGATGTAATAAAAAGATTTACAGTAGAATTATTATTTGGAATTTATAAATTTATATGAGTTAAGCTGATTTTAAATATTATTCTGGAATTTAATTAACTCAATAATTCAGTAACTTCAAATATTAGGTTAAAGGATAATTAAATGTTCCTTAAAATTAAAATAAATTTTAATAACATTTAAATTAATAGAATTATATAATTCTAACACATACCTATATTGAGAATTTATAAATACTTCAAATAAAGTTTGTTAACTATATAGGGGTATCATTCGAAGCTATATAAATATCTATTGTTCTATATCATTATAGAAGAAAAGAATATCTCTTAAATAAGTCTAAAACTTTATGTCTATACTGGGATGTTTATCTCTAAATAAATTAAAAAAATATATAATTCTTCAGATTATAAAAGATTTGAATCCCTTATTAATTTTAATATGAGAAAGAGATCAACAAAAAGTAGATTGAAATTTTACAAACAAGATGGATTAATAAAAAGCTATTTCTTATTATAATCAACATAATAATAATTTCTATTGATAGATATTTAGTCGAATCATTTAAAAGTGAAGTAACCTCATATTAATTATGATGTACATAGATTTTTTCATTTTAAATAACTTTTATTTAAATATTAATCAAAATTGAGAAAAGTCAATTTTACTATTATATGATGATATTAGATTTGATTTTGATTTTTATGTTAATAAAATCTAGAATTTCATCCAAATCATTGTTATCATAAACTTTAATTTTTTAAATTATAATTACTCTATTTGCTTATTTTAATTTAGAATTCCAACCTTTTCGATTTTTCAATTAAACATATAATTAGACTCAACAACAATTTTAGCTCATCTTTTCTATTTGAATTATTCTTTTAAAATAAAAAAGGGTGTTATTTTTCCGATACTATTAGAAAGAAAATGATACTTTTCCTGCAAATTCAAACACTAAACACAGAGATTCTTTTTTAATTCATTAATTTTATTATCAATTTCTTTTTATAAAGCAAATCTTTGTTTTCTTTATTCAGCAGTTAAATCAGCATTTTAAAATTAAGGGATTTATCTATAAACTTACTATCAAATAATAATTGAAATAATCGGGTATTTTTAATTTGAACTTGCAAATATGTTGTTTTTCTATTCATAACTTCTCATAAATTTAATTAGTAATTTTTCTGTAACATATATGTTATTTTATTCAAACTGTGAATTATATATTTCTTATTATCCTTTGATAAATATTCATAAATTAATAGGGGTTAGAATACATAAAGAATAATTTTCTGGAGGGAACTCAGGAGTAGTAAAGATATTTTAAATATTTATCACCAAAAAATTGTGAAAGTGTTTGTTATATAAAAGTTATTTATCATTTGTGCTATTGGTAAACTCTATTATTTGAATTTGGTTCAAATTAATGATCTGACATT